TTTTAAGATATATGACAGGAGATGAAAGGATAAGGATATTGAAGATTAACCAGTACATTAAATGTACGAGGCTCTCTCCAAGCCATCCACTACCGTATTCCATCAATTAATATAATCAATAATCCTACAACTGAAGCTGTACTCGATACTGATACAAATAATCTTTATTCAAATAAAATTAATATAAGCACTTTTGAATAGTCACATACTTTTTTAATCTGCCACTCATTCGTAACACAGACTCATCACAAGAAGAATGAGCAAGAAAATTGTGTGTTGCTCTTTAAAATAAATGTTGTTTTAATTAAATATACACTAACAAGGATTAGGCATGCGAGAATCAACATAGAAACAGCTACGCACTTAAACTTTGTTCAATCAGAAAACATTGTCAGCGCTATGAATTGATGCTGATTTTATACATATATTGCAATGGTGTCAACAATCAGTCGACAGTTACCATTTTCCATGAAGCGTCAGCTTGCATGCAAAATGACAGTAGTAAAAATCATTCTTTTCCTGATATTATCAGTAATGTCAATCATTTAAGTACTAACAAGCTTTCAAATGCAACTCTTAGGACACCATACTATATTTGACAATTCAATGTAAAGAGCCGTCTACCTTTAAATGTTGTGGCATTTTGGATTACCATGTAGTTTGTGTATTGAATAAATATTCTGCCACAGCCATTTGGGATTGAAGTCTAATTTGTATAATAGTCAGTTTAATCAGCGATACAGTGGGTACTATTTCTATTGCAATGTAGTACTCTATCAGCTTGAGCACGCCTGGAAAACACCATGGTTAATTCCTGGTGAATTCGCAAAGATAGCGTGTCTATGTGAATTCACCAGAAAGTAACCACGAATACTTCCTGATCAGTCTATCAACGATCACCAGTCCATAGCGTATATCATGTATGAGTGTTCGTTACTCTTTAACGCAAAAACTACTGAATGGATTTAAATAACACTTTACAATAATATAGCTTCTTCAGAATAACATGTATATGTTATTCTGATGCAGAAGCTATATTATTGTTATAATTAATTATTGTTATAATAGGCTATAATTTTCACGCGAGTGAAACCGCGGGCTTAATAAATATAAATTGTTAGCTTCTATTTCACTTGCAGCATTCGTATTAAGTTCTTATTTATTCATTCATTCAGTTTATAATTTGGTTATTAAGTTTTGGGTTATTACATCTGCAGGTAAATGTATCATGGAAAAGATTAAAATGTAGTTTTAGATTAACGTTGATTTGCTAACTGCATTATAGATGTTATTATCACTTAATGGGATATAGGGTAATGGCGACAATAAATACAGATTATCGACCTTTGTGCACATAAATTGGCTTTTATGAGGTTAAATATCGTATACACTTGCTTAAGATCCAAATAGATTTTATTGCTAGGGTAATATTGATACCGCAAGATAAATCGTAATAATGTACCATAGTCTATACCATATAAATATAATTAATATTCTACATCTGCATACGTAGACCAGGGGGCTTTGTTTTTATTCGCGTTTTTCTTCTCTTGTGTTTTGTTCCCATTGTCGCTTTTTAAGACGTTCAGGGAGAAGAAAGACAATTCTTCAGAATCCTCTAGTCTACCACAGTAATGATTATTACAAACCATTTAGATATACTATTGACAATTATCTTGAAGTCTATATATCCCCTCGGGCGGTTTGCATCATATTCTGCACCAAAGAAAAATGGAGCACTGGCCGCATAGGTATCAACATCTATAGCATGTCTCATATTTGCCAATTCGTTTTTCATCTTCGCTGGTTATTATAGAGTAAGCTATTGGATGTTCGTGGTAACCTCCGATACAATAGACTCAGTTTTAAAATTCACAATGTATAACCTTACTAATAATATAAACGTGAAAGTTTGTGATGTTTGTTACTATTTCACGCAAAAACTACGCATTTTGATGAGACTACAGTAATGTAACTTACACATCAGAATAACACATAGGCTATGATTTAAAAAGATATTATGTAAAATGGGGTGAAATATATTGTTAAATATCAATAAGTATGATGCAGACAACGCTGTGCGGGTCAGGTATTTGTATATAAATTTATTGTATACATAATTTACATGTCTATTTTATTTATTCTCGAATGAAATTAATGTACAATACAAAAAATAGATGAAAAAAATAAATACTGTATACCGGTTATGAAATATAACAGTGTGTCCAATAAATTATTATTATTATTTAATTTATTTACTTTGCGTTGTTAAATCATTATTATAGTACTATGGTGATAATGATGTTGCCCCGGATTTGTCCTAATCTATTTTTTATTCCGAATGTCGTATCGACAACAATGGGACAACTAAGAGCCGTCAAGGATAACCAACAGTTGTGATTGTCGTAGCAACTGGCACGATTACATGAGATGTGTATCTGCCACTTAGTTATAACGAGCGGACACCAATTAGGCAAATCAATCTAGGGCTGCCAGGGTAAGTTATGTTGTATATTTATTTCCGAGTTATCAAATGATGTTAAAGTATTATTGTATAAATTCTAACCCTCTTATTTATCTAATAGCGACATTCGCAACTTTGTCTCTTTAAGTATTTTTCTTCATGATAAGTATTTTGATTCATGATCTGATATATGGGCCATCCTTAATATACGTCATAGGTCGTAATTTCTATATCGTAAACTATCCCTCCGTCATTGCCACAGTTGGCCACATTTACGAGAACCTTCTGGGGCGGTGTCATATATTTTAAAAATAGAACTATTTTCGTTATTAGTTAAAATTTCGTGTTATTACAATGAACTTTATGTTATGAAAATATTATATGTCACAAAATTAAGGACCCTCCCATCCACTTGTCACATTTAGTCCACTCCCTCCTCTTCTTAATGTGTGACATAGTTTATGGATGGCCGCTATGTAACATTGTAAGAATTAATTGTTCTTTAGAACTCGTAGATTTATTACGAGCAACACATGAACACTGCGCGCGTTTTCAACGGACGTGTTTTATACTAATTACTTATTTAAATGACAAATTATCTCATATACTTTAAGTATTAAAACGGGTCCGTTTCCGTACCGAGAACCCTTCTTTAAATACCAAAATCGTGAGATGTGAACTTCGTATTAATTAGGAAAACTGGTTGAAAATGTATTTGAAGCTTTTTGTGTAAAAATATAATTAAAAACTTGAACAACAACCACCAAGCTTGTTTTAATTATGCTTTACGCAAATAACTACTATAACTACTTAGTTAGTCGTAATCGGTTTATTGGGTTTAATCATCATACTTGCCAATGGATGCTAATTGATGATTTAAGATGAACATTTTTATTTGATATAAGATCTATATTCTTCAAAATCTACAAACTATAGGCTTAGACTGTTCTCTAAATCTATTGGTTGATACGACCAGTTAATTTAATTAATTATAGTAATTAATAAAAGCGATAGTTTGTGAGCATGGACGCTTATTACTCTTGTTACAGTTATGCATTCTATATTTAATTTTTTTTTTGGACTACTCTAATACTGTTGGCCGCAGCTGACCTTTACAGCTTCACCGGACGTTAGGGGGCGAGTGCAGATGGCACTTCAAACCCGCGCAAGGTCTTATGCAGCGGGACTTTAGTCTGTGGGCACCACTAGGAGTTCGAAACTCGGCTCAGGCCGTCGTAATTTCGATCCCCGTTTGAATTGGACGGGGGATCGATCGGAGGGGTATTCTTTATTGCAATTTTAGATACAGTAATAATTAAAGACAATGTGAAGAGAAGTGGACTACCTTTAAAAGAGATCTTTTCCAGTCAGTCCGAACATAACGTGGCATAGCTAGTAATAACTAGGTAACATTAATGTAAGTAATAGTCTATTACTAAAAATGTTTCCAGTTATTTCTACACCCTACCAACCAAATACCCTTTTGACAACCTTGAACACGCTAGTAGAAGTTCGACCACTTTCGAAATAAATCGATGAATCGATTTTGACTTCGTTATGTAGTTCGATTGTAGATTAATGAATAGAATCGTATAACTTACAAGGGGATCTGAATAATCGACACCCAGATCGCAATCGGTATTCTCGATTTATAACGATCAGCTCTGTTTCCTGCTTTATAGACCAATGATCGCTTATCTGTTTGCTAGTGAGCATTTATAAATGGCATGTTTCTTGAACAAGCGTGTGACGTAGGGAATTAGTTGCAGTGTTTAGTGTCTAGTGTTCGTTTCGCGGTAAACTGGTGCTTTGGTTACAGACTCGGGTATGTAGGGTGGGGAGTGGGGGTACTAACCCAATCCTATCACACATAATCGGTAAACTTAGTGTCCTATCTCGCTATTCAAACTTACAGCTTGTAAAAATCTCAATATATTAAAAATTAAAAGTATGTTGTTAAGGTTATCCAGAGTTGACAGAGGCACTGTCAAATATCCAATTCGCGTTTAGTTGTTGCCATAACTTTTTTTAAATATATATTCATAATATACATAGAAAACACTTAGGCTATAATAAACCCACACAAATAGTAATCTCAGCTCTACACGCATAAGGTCCTAGATGAGACTAAATGCAGAAAATAGAATACAATTTACATTGGGGGGAAGGGGATTGTTAGTAATGTGGACTAATGACTCCGTTACTAGCAAGTACCATGTTAGGTTAACCTCCGCGCGGTTCCCCCTAGAAACCATCGTGATAAATTCCTGGTAAATTTCTCACAATGGGCTAACTGACCTGACCTCATGTTCATCTTATCATCCTCCACTAGTGCCCCGCCAGCGTAAACCGTTAGTGCAGGCGGGAGCACCAATCCATTATCATCCCTTAAAAAAAATACAATTTACATTTACAAAACGACACATTCATTCTCATGAACTTGTGTAATGTTTGTGTCATGCGAGGAATCGAGCCCGCAACCATCAGAAGTAAGCGTGTATTAAACCGCTAAACAGAGGTAATTAATAAAACTTACCTTGAGCTTTCAGAGCGTCGAGGACGTGAGGTACTCCCGTCCAGGGACTAGGGAGATCGAGAAATACAGCATCAGCTTTCCCTTTAAGGTTTTCTCCAAATCCATCTTCAAGAACATCTCTGTGTTGAGCCTATGGGGATTAATGATAAGTTGAACCATCTTAATCTTTAGTAGATAGATTCTTTTAATATAAAAAGAGGAAAGTAACAAATTATCAGAGACTAAGTTTTTATTTTGATAAATTATTTAGTTCATTCTATGTTTACTATGGTAAATAACATTAAAAATCTCTAAGGGGCTTAACTTTTAAAAATAACTAAAAAGAATTTTATAAGTATTACATTTACAAAAATATTTATTACTAGGTGACTGTATGGGTACCTAGTAAAGTAATTAGTAGCGTAATTTCGTCTGCAGCTCTGCTCCTATTGGTCGTAGCGAATCACCAGTACCGAAGATTACCCGGAACATTCAAACTCAGAAATTTTACCTCTATATAAATCAGTATAGACAAAGTTTTATTGAAATAAATAATGAAATTGATTTACTCACTGTCACGAAATCGGAGAGACCATGTTCCTCAAACTCTTTTCTCGCTACATTTGCTCTGTGCTCATGGAAATCAAATGTGTAGACATGTCCATGTGGTCGTACTCTTCGTATAAGTGCATGTGTCAAAGAACCACTACCAGTTCCTGTTAAAAATAATATTTTTTTATATAAGACAGCTGTTAGGTATTCTTTTGTTATAAAATATATACTCAATAGTATAGTATAGTTTCTACTTCTGCAGTGCTATCAACCATTAGAAATTATCATTATTAGTAAATGATATATCTGAAGGCGTAAAGTATATATCCTAAAAGTACATTATGAAAATAAAATTAGAAATAACATTTGGTGACCTCATTGATTCAGAAAAATCACCTTCATTCTAAATAGCGCCGGTTCGATTCTCGCACTTTAATCATATTTGTATTCATGAATAGTGTTGTATTGGTCTTTGTGTCTTCTAGGAATTTCCAAAAAAATTATACAAGCAGTTAACAGTACTACTACTATTATTATAAAAAATATACTTCTGATTTGAGATTAATATATAAACTAATATAACTATTATAAAAATAGGTTTTCTTTCAGATCACAATAGTGGCAAACAAGCATATGCTTGTGCATTTAATAGTAAATAATTACTAGACCCTTGAAACAACAGGGGTGTTCACCTTAAGAAACCTTAATATACCTATTTTGAAAATCCAGGATGTAGTGAGACTAGAGAACTAGGTAACCTATTTACTAATTTTATGAAAAAGAAAATACAAAATTAATATATAAAACATTGGTAATAGGACAGATATTTATACAATGTTTAAATAAAAATGTGGCATACCAGCTTCAATAACAACACATCCTGGCACTAAATCCAATTGCAATATTATCATACTAATATCTGGTGTGTAGATGATCTGTGTTCTATGTGGAAGGGTCAATGACCATAGTTCAGGGGTTGGCTGCAACACATGCCCCCAACCTTTTGATAGTTCTACCTGCACAAAAAAGTAATTTTGTAAACACAGTATGCATTTCTATAATATATACTTTATTGTATACCCTTTAGCAAATATGATCAGAGACTTGCTAATCATTACATAGTATAAAATAAAGTTGCTGTCATTGTCTGTCCGTCTCTAGTATGCTTAAATCTTTAAAATTATGCAACAGATTTTTTAAATAGATAGAGTGATTCTAGAGGAAGGTTTCTATGTATAATACATGTACACCTGGGCGAAGCTGGGGCGAGTAGCTAGTTATTAATAAATTTGTAATTTGTGGCAATGGTGATGACTTTGGTAGTGGTTTAGAAAACCGTCTTACTTCCAATGGTTGTGGGTTCAATTCCTTGCCCGAAGCAAAGATTTGTATTCATGAATTGTATAAGAATATTATGATTGTTTGTACCAATTTGGGTGCTTTCTATAATATTGAGTATGTATTTACAAAATAAAAGTCTAGCCAAGTATTTCTATTAGTGTGAGTTATTCAGTCCAGATTTATTTATTTATATAATTTAGTAAGTATGAGTCCATCTCTTTTATATTTAATTGAAATGTAAGTCTGTTTTGAAGAATATTATTTATATAATTCTTCAAAACACACTTTCATCAAATTGTTGTTACTTGCATAAAAAGATACAATACACTGTTACTAAAACTGATCATTATCACAATTTTTATAAATTAACATTAAAAGTTATATTTTCTATCGAAGATAACTAGTTCGCTAAAGACTTCCACTGGCTACTGTTGTTTGAATAAATGTAAATAATTTTTTAGTAGTAGTGTAGTTTATTGCAGGGAACTATGTAAAAGAGCCTACATGCAAATTTAAATATTCTTCCTATTTCATTATTGCCCTTATTTATATGTCCACCTTGATGATACAATACAGTTATTGTTTAAGACAAAGACTAATAAGTCATGTACCCTACAAATATCCACTCAAAGATAACAGGATAAGAAGATGCACATCATTATACCGTTGTTATGTATTCATAGCGTTTTAATTCAAAGCTGTGAAGGGAAGCAACAATTCAATATTTACACCACTGTATTTCAACTTTGTTTAAGAATTACAATAAATTAATGAATGAAACCATTATGGGTTTTACTTTAACTTACACTAAACCAAATATTATTTTTAAAAGGGACATACCTTGCTTCCATAGTCTGTTCCGATTAGGTTTCTAACCTTCAAAGCACCGAAAGGTGTTTGGAAAACATTTTCAACCAAATCGCCTTTTTTACTCTTTATTTCAGGTCGTACATCTATAGCGTACAGGTTATTGCTAAGATATAGAATTACTGTATCACCCTCGTCAATTTTGTCTTTATAATTTCTAAAACTCATTTTGAATCTGCAATCAAAACTTTTAAACTAAGTTTTTAATACGTATTTTTGTAAACAAAACAAAGATTGGGCAGCTGTGATATTTGACAATGACAACTGATTTTTAACAATGACATCAGAACGTGACAGTTGTATTTAGATTTTGTCGTTTTCTTATGATCTTACAAGTTATCATTATAAAAATATGGTTAATAAGAAAAGTATTACAATATATATGAATTTATTGGTAGAAGTTGATTTGACAATATGTAATAAAATATTAAATGGAAAACACAATATGTGTTAACTTCAAGTATGCTGTTTTGCTTGGTCAGTTTCAAGTCCATCAGTCATTGGCATGAATGCTTTGACTGACGTCTAATATTTATTGAAACTCCAGTTTACTACCAATACTGAAAATCAACATCATCAACACGTAAATTTTATTACAAAGTTACTTTTACAATGATATGAAAAATATTGAACTAAAGTGCAATTCTGTGAATATATCTGACTAGATGATTCTTTCCTATCAAACCAGTTTTGTCATGCATTGATAAAATTTTGAAGATGGTAAATATGGATCCCTCGAAGAATACAAGTAAAACCAGCTCCCTCAAAGCTCTAATTCTTAGAGCTTGGCGGGAACGTTGGACTGATATCCAATGGGGTATTAATATCAAGACTATCCTGCCTAGAGGAGTCAGCGGGGATCTTTATAACCTAGCGGATTGCATACTTCAACAAGCTATGGTAGGATGTGGCGCCAACCAATTAGTGATATCATATTTGAAACATTCTCTTGCATCTCACCTTGTATCTTATGCTGCTGTACTACAAAGGATATCAAAGTTTGATGCATTTCACAAACCGCATTGCATTTTAAGCTTGCTCGAATTCTTAGAAGGGTTCCTTGATAGCATAACATGTAGAGGTAAAATGGAAGAGGAAGTACTGGCATACGCTGTATCTTCAATAATACTGTGGCTTTTACAAGTATACCATTACTCTTTAAGTAAGCACCCATCATCAAACTCAATACAAAGTCAAGAATTACTTGAAAAGTCTACACTGGTCTTAAACTCTATCGTGAATACAGATTTTTTGGTTGCAATGTTCTATCTGGCAAAGCAGAATGATCCTGATGAATATAATAAGGTTACTAAGAAGTGTCAAGAAATTACTACATTTATTATGATGAATACTCAGTTTAAAGCGCCTGGAACTATACATGATACTCTACAAAAAATCTGTAATATGGATATCGATAAAATAGCACCACTGAATAATAAAACCGAGTCTGTTACCCATTGTTTGCAAGCTTTAATAGCAATTGATATATTGTCCAATCCAAGTGCTGATTTACATCAAATTTCAAGCCAATTATTGATGGTGAAGAGAATAAAAGGTTATAGTCTGTCTAGATTATATTGCGAGTTGATTAGAGCTTGTTTTATATCTCTCAATGATTCTAGCAAAGATGCTTCAAAACAGGCATTTTGGGCAGCATTCACTTTTCTCAAAATACCCCAGGTTATGCATCATATACACAATTTGTGTGGCACTACTAGCAAAGAAGGTGAATTTTCAGTAGAACTTGTGGAAGCTTTTGAAAATCTCTTACAGTCTAATCCATTATTGGATATTGTTGATACAAAAAATTCCTGTAACAGTATAGTGTCTCTTGTAGAGCCATTAGTAAAAGCAAATGTTATGACGGATACTCATTTGCAATACTTCAGCAAAAAGAGAGAAAGCAAAGATGTAAAATTACAAAAATTGGAACCTACAGGACTTCAGGGTTCTGTACCATCTTTTCTTACTCGAGCAGAACCAACTTTAGCTGGAATTTTAAAGACTCTAGGTGGAGATTTCCATAAAATCCATGAATCCCTATGTGCTTTGTTATGTCAAATTGTAGGTGGAGGTACTTTAGAAAAAATTCTAGCTGTAGCCACATTGGAAGGCAAATTGAAGTTGATTGCTTCAAGACTTATAAAACTAAATGAATTGGCATTACATGCTGCTAGTGAGAAGGGTGCATCCCAATCAAAAGTGTACATTTTTGACATATCATTTTTGATTCTTTGTTCAATTGTACAAGAGTATGGAGTTGATACTGTTCTTGAAGAAAATGGTGATTCATTCTTTGAGCAATGGGTTAGAGATTGTATGGTATATAAAGGAGTTCATAAGTCACCAGATCTAATACTACAAAGATGTGATCCTCAACTTGTAGATATTTTTATCCATCATTTAAGTGCTACTGAATTTGATTTCAAAAACACTAACATGAAACCTCATGATCTTTGTGAAAATGTAAGTGGTGCTGTGAAAGAAGTTTTGTTTGCATGGGAACAAGGTTCACTTTCTGCTGCAGATGTGAAGCGTATGTTGGACTCACTGAGGCAAAAAATGGCATCATTAGCTGTCTGCGCATCGGCCTGGTTGTGCTCTTATATTAATGTGGTGCATCAGGATGCATTTTTAAAACCAATGAATATGGTACAACAATTTCTAACACCACCTACAGAAATAGAGTTAGCACAAATTGATAATTTCAAGGAAAGATCTGTTTTGATGTCTCAGATTATTAGGAGAATGCAATATGACATCCATCCTTCATCTATGTCAAAATCCAAAAGTATATCTCTTTCACATAATATTATAATGAGACAACCAATTTTGGAACAGTTACAAACAGTTTGGGAGGATATTAAATCTAGGGGATATCTCCATATTGATGCTACACACATAGCTGAGAGTCTCCTAAATACTACTGGACCAATATGGTTTGTCACACATTTAGTGAAAGAAACCCTGAAGTACAGATATTTGGATGATCTTGATAGATCCGTAGATATTGTTTTTGCTATCATGCATTTAGACATAGAAAAATGCACTGAAGCTTTGTTGTTGCATGTGTTACCTCAATATTTGTATAATGCCAAACTATGTGAGGATTTAGTTGAACCGCAGTCTGCTATATTGGCAAAATTGTCAGTATATTGTGTTTATGCTGCTTTAGAACATAGCAATTCAAACAAGACTCAGAGTTCTAGAAAACGTCGGCATGAGGAGTCTGAAGATATGGATCAAATGAGTTCAACAAATAAGGTGAGAAGACTGAATGACAATACATCAGATAGCAGTGGTGGATTTTATTCACAAGGCACATCTGTTACTGGAATAACTTTGAAAGAACCTTTACAATCAGCTCTGGAGACATTGTACACATCATTCTCTCAATTGGCGGGAAAAAATGGTGATATATCACCACAGACACATTTTATATTACAATTTATGTCATATGTCGTTCAATGTGGGCATGAAAGAGCTCATTTGGTTTTACAGAAAATGCCAAGTGAACTTGTGCCCACTTTGATAAAAGCCCTTCCAGATAGTTTTAACATAAGCTTGATTTTGAGGTTGTATGATCTATCCACGCCTTATGGGAGGAAAGATACCGCTCGAGATCTCTGTTTGTTGAGAAACATGCGTCTCAGACCTGACTAATATGTACCACATGGCTATCAAGTGAACAGATTGTCTTTATAGGTGAATTTTAATTAAGTGAAGTAATATTACCTTAATTCGAAAAACTGTATCTTAATTCAGTAAGTAGCTCAATGTTTAATCGAAAATTGGATTAAAATATTAAATGAAGTCTCAATATATGACATAATGAATGAAATTTATAATTATGTTAGATTAAGATTATGAATGTGTTAAATCCTAGGAATATAAAATATGATTGACAAGTAATTTTGTTTATTAATTATATAATTATATTAAATCTTGAATTTTTATTTATATCGTAGAATATTTCCTGCTGCAGAAACGCGCATACCCAGTTTCTTGCCCACTATTTTTGCTTGTCTGTATCATACAATGTTATATTAAAAAGAGTAGATTTAAATTGCCACTTTTCGTGAATCATATCAGGATTGAATTATACAAGTCTTGTAATACTGGAACATACAAGTGACTTTTATAATATTATATAAAAATGTGCCCTAATGTATGAAGAAAATTCTATACATATTAAAATCCAGAAAAAGATTGTTACTTTAATTGGCTAATAATCAATTATTTAAATAATTCTTAGAATTACCATTTGTTATGAAAAATGTTAGTTTTGAACTAATAGATATATGTATTTGGACAACGCCGAATTATTAATCTTTAGTGAGGAATTTGAAAGGAAATAATTATTTGCTATCGCCGACGATACTATTACTTACAACATTCGTTTCTTCATTTGAAGGTTCGCCTATAGCTATTCATAATTACGGCTTGATTGGAAGGTGGAGCATTTCTAGTAGGTACTAAATAAAGTAGGTAGTACCTAAATAAAACCAAGTTGTCATCATAATACCTTTACTTTTAAATTCAATCAACAAATAATCCAATATAAATTATATGAAGACCTGTTTTTATACATTTACATATTTATATTCGGTACAAGAATAATTCCAATTTTCTACTGAAGTAGATACCTAATATTTTGTAAAGGACAAATAAATCGATCGATTATAAACTCAAATGGGCTACTTGAGCAGCTAATTTGGTTTGGTTTAATTTTATAATTGGAACTAGATATAAAATCAATTTAGTTTATTCGAAATTCGAATGTTTAATTGTATGTAATAAAGTGGGTCCGAATGAAACTATTGTACGTTGCCAGCCACTTATTTACTTATAGAGCTTAGTGGTTACTATTTTGTGGTTGATCATAGAACACACTATGGCGCGTAATTATACAACGCATAAATACACGCCGTTATGTAAAATAATATATCTAACATTGGACGGAATGCATTCTTAACTAATAATACTTCGATAAAACAAGGAAGACGGTTGTAAAACATACAACTCCATATATGAGCATTATCAAAGGTTCACGTTGTTTTACTAGGTCTGGGGCTGGGCCCATAACCTTTAATATTATCTATTAACATTTGTAGATATTTATTTAGCTACTAGTAAAATTTAAGCAACTTCATAAAACAAAGTTTTTAGAGCAAATGTAGGTAGGTTACACAATATCTAACCGCCGGACGGTTAACCGATGTTGTAATAATTGAAAAAAATTTTGATCAATGAATTAATTTTGCTAAAATTGTTTCAAAAAGCATTAAGTGCCTTCGGCTGCATTCTACCGTTCGATACATATACTATTTCTTGTACCTTTTTATACACCTCTTTATAATATTTTTTATTTATAATTATAATGATTTAGCTAGCTAGGTACATCAGGATTATGTCTGTAAGGCAACTTCTTGTTTAATAATAAATTCTTACAAAATAATAAATCTATTAAATAAAGTTTACATGTTTAGGAATGTTGAACGTAATCAGTTTATTATTAACAGTAATTAAATAATAGAACAGGAACACAAAATATTATTTGTATACATTTCAATAGACAATATAAAAATGTTATTTTCACAAATAGATAATATTGCACATTGCACAGGTGAGTTAGGGTCCCGTACGAAATTCATTAGGATGAATCATTGTAGTGAAATTTCAATGCCGTTTTCCCCGGCAACTAGACAGTTACAAGACACGAGCTTAATATTATTTATATTAACAATTCATTTAGTTGAGTTTTCATATATACTGTATCAAATTTAGATAAATCATCATTCAAATTAATCTACATTTACTAAATATCTTAAGTACGGAACCCTCGATACGCGAGTACGATTGACACTTGAGCGGTATTTGTTTAATATTACAATTTAGAAGTATTCAATAAACATGTCTGTAATTTTCGAAATTGAGACTAAAATGTAGAAATAAGTTACATTTTCAGACTAAAATTGTAATTACAACAAAAGTATGAATATAAACAACTGTAGTATTTATTCTATTCCGTATACACAAATCACATTCTATGTGATAAATAACTATAATAATTAGGTAAGATATCTAAAATCCAACAATTTGTACACTTATTTCGTTTATAAAAGAATAAAAATATACAAACTACCTACCTATTTTACAAAACTTATCGACACGAAGATCACAGGAGAGTTCCAGAGCTTTTTCTACAGTAAGTACTAACATAAAATTATTAAAATAGGGTAACAAATTATTATATTCAACTATTTGAAAGGAAATTATACATAATTATGAAATAGTTATAATGCTGGCTTTTTGGCCTCCGGAGAATCTGGATGTGGACGATCTAGAACAAAGAAAAAAAGTAATTAATTAATTAAATAAAAATAGTATAACTTCACGACTGCAATCTTAGATGTAATAGTGAGACCTATAGGCAACTGTAAACGTCTTGAATTCGTTATATTAATACATGCAACAAAAACTTTATACCCCATTTTACGAATGTTATGTGAAGGGAAGAGTACGCACACTTCTAGTTTATATAGAGAAGGAGTGCAAAATGCAATATTTTATAAAATGATGCATAAAATACATTAAAGCAATAAAAAAACATTACATACACTTGCCATGTATTTGATACAGACTCTCATACATAGAAGTATTTGGTAATAGAACCTCAATAATATTGAAACTTATAATTTAAATTAATTAGGGTCGAAATTCAACTATTGTGCGACTAGTAATCGCACAATAGTCGAAGTTAGTAGTAGTAGGTACCTATTATAATATGATTTTTTTTCGGTATTTATTCAGTACCTAATATCATAGGATTTTATTCGATTTCTCTTTGAACTTAACTGGGTTTTCTACGAGACTCCAAATTTAGGTCAATTTAAAAATAGAGGTAAAGATTCTTATTATAAATCCGATAGGTCATTCGCGTATGCCTTAGGCTTATAAAAAAATAAAAATTGCCCACATGAATGATATTAAAAATAGGTACTTGCTAGTGTTGTGGACTTACCAATTGGTCTTCTAAGAATATCTCCCTCCCTGCTGGCGTTATACGCAGGCGGTGGGTTACTAGTCCTCAGAGGTAAGCTTAACCTATTAGGATTACAATTTTCATCTACGGATCCGTCGGCGTTCGCAAATGTCCTTTGACCTCTATTCCATTGCTGATAGGAACTTTCCGTAGTCACAGTATTACATCTATTGTTAGTATGAGGAACATATTGCTCAGGTGACCAGTCGAATACAAAAGTATGACTGTAGTTATGCGCGTACGCTGTAGGAGTACCAGACGGTGTAGGAGGTGTCGTAGTTACATAAGGACTTAGATCTTGATGACATACGTCTGGTACTTTCTGCAGAGCAGATTCAGACCATGTCGGACTAGGATTCCATTGATCAACCATTTCTGGTTCTGTAATATTGAAGTTCTTAGAGCCTGGACGCCTGCTGGCTATAGACCCTGCTGATACAGCAACTAATGTATCTCCAGATGTCACTGTGGATGGTGTACATCTAGGAGACATGTTGGATATGGGTGTGTTTGGTTTATCGTCAGGACTCTTTGTTTTCCGTTTGGCGTTAGATTGGATCCTCGTATCTTCTATACGTATATTGTGGTACCTGAAAATTAAATCTAATGTTAAACATGTGGCACTTCTTAATTGCAAATTTTGTAGATGGAGGAAGGCATGGGTCACAATTAGGTAAATTGAAAGAGGACAATGAACGGGAGACGAAATTTACTATAGTTCTAGACAGGCCAAGATCTTTTAGAAGATTGTTGAGAGATTTGGCTGGTATATCTCTCGCTTCCACTTCATAATATTTATTTGTTTTCATTGCATGCTCTTTATGGTCATGGTTTATTCGGGAAAAGGTAACATAAAAATTATTTTATATTTTATTCACATTTTCCAACTATATGTACTTTTTGCTCTTTTCTATTAAAAATTGTTACATTTAATTATCTATGTACGTATTGATTGTTGTGTGCCATAATAAATATAGAGAAATGGTACAAAAGTAGTACTTAATTCTATATAATTCTTCCATTAGTACGGATTAGACATCTTACCTATTATCTTGAAGCGATACAGAGTAATCCACAGGTCCATTTTCTGCTCTTTCATATGCATAGTGCATAGGAGTCAAATGTGGAACGTGTGGTATATGCGGCTGCAGCCCTGCGTTGGGCATCATGACGGGTTGGTTGCCATTGATACAGACCGGCGGTGTTGGTGCATATTGCATGGTTGGAGGATAGACCTGGATGTCTGGTGGTGGAGGGCCATACATCCTCGTTGCTGCTTCGTAGGCCAGACCGTAATGCAACTTGGACTGTACAGCGTAATAGTGGTAGAGCCAGGGATTGGCTTTCATGACGGTTGCTTCTTGTTCACTGTTAAAAACATACCATTTCATTAGTATTCTCAACATATTTTAATAACGAAGGAGATTTTTAATTCACCTTTATTTTTCAATATACAAGGTGTTTATATCAGTATCTACTCAACTCTATAACTCAATTGTTTAATATCGCACCTTAATTGAGCTTAACACATACCATTTGTATTGTATTTAATTGAATAATATGTAGAAAAAAGTAGTGTACTGGTTCGTGGTAGAATGTTAAACCGACTTCTGTATAGGCACCTCCGGTAACTTACATCGTGTGGTTTTTTTGCGGGAAAGAATCTTGGTGAAGATTTTTCAATAAGTGAAAAGAAAAGGTACTATGATATACCTACTGGTTAAATAAACAATGTAGAAATCGAATATTTAGTTCGAATTAAACAGTGCGCGTCACCTCAATATAAATATCAATTAAAACAAGTATTATATTGCGGTTTCGGGCAGGTAACCTATAGAGAAGAATCTCCCATCGCCATCATTCGACAGGAGCGTTACATGCTTTGCCCATTAATAGAATGGACACCATTAAAGTTTAATGTTTATATATATTGTATTTTACTTTATGTTTACGCTTAACAATAATTATACGGCCCATAACTTTGAAATTCATTGTAGGTATAAGCTATTAAGTACACGTTGAATTTGTGTAGGTATCTATGCTAATTAAAGGGAATATTATAAAGTTGTGCGACCGAGCTCTAAGGTTTTTTGTTTATTTTTTGTAATAAGACATTTTTTCTGTGAAGACATTAAACATATACAATAATACATAGAATTTATAGTAATAATACATCGTATACATATGTTGGGGTATGTAAGTTCGTATCATCATTACATAGTACAAAACAAAGTCGCTGTCGCTGTCTGTCCGTCCCTAAGAAAGCTTAAATCTTTAAAACTACGCAACGGATTTTGATAGAGTGATTCTAGAGGAAGATTTACATATATAATACATGTACACCCGGGTTAAGCCGGGGCGAGTAGCTAGTATGGTATAATACTCGGAATAACAATAATTTATAGTCTTTTTTGGTCTGTCGTGTTTGTCGAATCGATCGAAAATCGAATCGACAGACTAAAACAGAGTATAGACTATTAGAAGAGTGTATTTTTTACACTCTTCTAATAGATATATATAGTCTGTGGTAATAGCAATGATATAAACTAAGTTCCCTGAATCTCATGAATAGTTCAGCTGGATAGACAAAGTTGCATTTAAGTAAGATTATCAATAGAATGTAAGAACTTAAGTAGGTGGGCTGTATTAAATTTGTACTCTCTGTATATAACCTTTCGCGCGAATAAGCTAGGGTTTGTGGCAACCTTTAGATAGTGAATGCGGGGAAATGTCACATAGTTGGACTTATTCTTAGACTTTGAACGTACAGACTTCGTGAAAAGTGCTTGGAGAAAGTGTTTCCTAATTGTTGCTATGATGATGCTGACTCTTGTTATACGGCAATTCACTTAATTATGGTATACACTAATATATTTTGTCCTATAAAAATATCTGGTTGTAGGGTTCAATAGTTATGACATTTATCAGGATTTTATAAGAGATTCTCTTGTCAAAAGTAAAACATTTAAATAATATATTGTGGCGGAAATTATCTATGACAGGATTCAGTAATATGGTGATGAAATATTTATAGGCCTAAGGACAGTGGAAAGGATAGCAGCTTGAGACTGTACAACTCTTCAAAACGTCAAACAAACAGTTCTTTTAACCTGTTTCAGACCAATATATTTATAATTTACATTGTTTTATTCAGTTATCGTCTTCTTTATAAAATCATCTTAATAAACAAAAGTAAAATCATCCTGTATTTAACATCGGAAGTAAACTTAAAAAAACCTACTAATATCTACAAGATGAATTAAGTATGATTTATCCATTAGGTAGTTCCGACATTTTATCGTGGTTCTACTCGTAATTTAATATAGCTTCTATTGCATTATTTTTTATTTGGTTTTAAATACTCTCTTCGCATGCTTATGTGCCATTATTTTTAATGTTATTATACGCTAATAAACGAATATAATGTACACAAAAAATATGTAGGGTTAAAGGCCAGTCTAAATTTATCATAACCTGAATGCAATCGAAATATAGATTAGGCGCTTTCGCGCACGAACGCGGTCACGTGCGTTACGAATTAATATATATTTATGTCAGTCCTAAAGAACTTTAATATCTTTGGACGAGATGTTATTTTTGTTTGATAAATAATATGTTAAATATGAAAAACGTTTTGGCAAATTTTAATTGATTACTTTATGATAATAGAGCTGATAAAGAAAATTTAGTTTCATGCAGACATGACTGTATGGGCGCAGTTCCTTTTGCCTTTTCGTTAAAGATAATCAGAACCGAAAAAAAAAGAAAGATGTCTTATCATCATCATCGTATCATGTATCATAGCTATATTAAGTTTCACTGATCCTCAGCAATTTATGTAATTTGGATGGATGGAGGATGTAATTCTTCCAACGTTTGTATGTAATTTGGTTCAGAATCACCGGTGAGTATTCAGGTTCTTGACTAACACTTTTATTTGCGATGGTACATCAAAGTTTAGATATGTGTTGGACGGCGACAAATCGCTTTTAACATTCGCATTATGGAAAGAGTAGATACCTCCGACGCCCCGGATCAAAGGGCGAACGGATAAAATCTTGATGTTTAAACACGTTGTGCATTAATGAACTAGACCTCGGACCGTGATTTATTCATCTCAGTTGCAAGTTAAAAGCTTGTTTGATAAATAGCATGCCACTATTCTATTGGATCCGGTACAGAGAGCAGTGGTGGGGTAAAGATTGTGTCATCGAGTGACTCAATTAGGGATCAACGATTGTTTTAGTACTATACATTGATGCGCAGACGTAATATAATGAATAGTAGTAAACTCCGTCAAATGATTGTGTATGTGTTTTAAATCTGAATTATTTAAAGGCCTATTCTCGATTGTACTTAATGAGGTATGTCATGCTGAGAACTTAACATGTGGTATACTGTGTGAAAAAAGTGAATGTGTAAATGGGTTATTCAGATTCAGGCTATTCAGATGAAGGCAGTTTCACCGCATTCATCGTAATGGAAAAACCTGGAGAAGGATCTTCAAATAGTCAAAAGAATTAATTCAAATCGCCATGTAATTAGACGAATTTATAACTGACGGGGAATAAAGTTTTGATTGGATACTAGGCAAATGCAATGCAGTAAGATCTTCATTTCTCCACTAATATTTGTATGGATTGTTGACCATCTATCGCTATTGTTCCTTCATTGCATACGTGTATTGTGCTATTAATTTTTCTCATAGGTCTTACGCGTTATTCTATAAAGCTTCTTCAAGAAATGCTGTGTTAAAATTAATTTCTTGCTACTTTAATAGAGAAACATAAAATTTCATGATTTGTCGCAAATAATTTTTATATGCTAACAGTTGTTTTGCCATTATGGTTCTTATGTTCAGTAATATTTAAAGTGACAGTCATAATACCAAAACTGTGTAAAGATGCATTTGCTATATTTTGAAAATTGTATACAACACACAAATGAAAATTATTCGTTTAATTCTACCATTAGATTAAATCATCTACGGTACAAGATCGGACAACGGATGAAGCATTAGTATGCTTATCTCCTTAGTAGAGTTTAAGAGAGAAATTAATTTTAATTGATTAATACTTCCTTCATGTTTGTTAAAAAACGACGAGGTTTTCGCTCAAAAAATTGTGTGTATAAAATGGGGCTCGTTATGCATAACTAAGTAAATGGGATATGGAAAGCATATCCGTCCGTGTCCGCCAATTTGTGCGTCCGCGCACCAAACGCATAAATCTCAGAGACATGACGTAGGCGGCGGACATGTTGACAATTTGCTGTCGTTCACTGTACCAACTATACCATTATAAACGTATTGCTGTTTACTATGTACTTGTTAGTCGTATCATAACTACTTGCTTTTCAACCAAGTTTAAAAGACTTCAAAGTATTCTATTGCTGTTGGCCACAGCTGGCGTTTACAGCTTCACCGTACAAAAATGGGGTTATAGAGCTTATTAGGCTGAAAGACAATTTGTTTGACGGATATCACTTCAACTATAATAGAGAAAAGTTATACAAAAAAGAAGTTATATTAAATATAATGGTATCTCAAGGTTGATCCTTCAACGCGAATGTGACACCCTTAGTATTTTAAGTGTCCATAAGCTATGGTAACCGGTCACCATCAATATGCTTATGTAGTATATCTTAGTTGTTATAGAATTAATTTTTGAAAAAGATAATAATAATAAGAATCCCAAAATTATCTCTCTTCTAAATTTCTTGGATATCTATAAGGAGAGAGATATATCGGTCGTAACTAAATCTTATAAAACAAAAACGTGTATATGTATCTTATTAAATTTATAAGTAAATATACCTATTCCGTTCCATTTTTTTTTATAATATTTATATATATTTAATGTATACTATTGTCAAGTTATATAATAACGCAGAACGAGTATCACAGTTTAAATAAACTAAGACGAATTGTAAATCAATATAATGCACTGATACTTTAGAAGATAATTCTATTACTCCACGAGAAAGGTATAACTCGGTCCAAACTTATGAGCATCGAAAGGATAGGGTAGGATAGGGTTACTTGGTCAGTCTGTACTTGATTAAAATAGTACATTGATGTCTTATTTTACCCTTTAACCAACTGCAGCCTCTATAAGCTTGCATGGTGTTGGTTTTTACGTTCTCTTATATATGCCCTATAAAGAGTTTATGCGGGCGATAAAATTACAACAATGTAAAGCCTAGGACACTATTAAATCTGTAAGTCACGTGAACTGGGCTCATTATTAAGTTTGTCAGTGGAAAGCATGGAGTAACATGAGTAGGTTGTGCAACAGTTCGGTGCTACGGAGTGACAAATGATGCAATCTTGTGAACAATGCAACTGAGCTTGTGAGCAGAGCGGATTT